AGGGGACATGTGGTTTTTAAACAGGGCGTTAGATAGGGTCAAATGATGGTCACACGACAGATGGTGGTCATCATATCATACACATGAAGAACTCTGGAGGTCCTCTGTACCACAAAACGCTCCTGGACCCACTTAAAAAGGAACAAGCAACACTCCAACCCTTTGCCCCATCTCCAAATATAAAACAGCAGCAACATCAATGACAAATGTCCTAGCCTCAGGTAAAAACGACTGATGGTAGAGACTTCCCCAACACCATGAATAAGAGAAGTAGGGCAAACCACATTGGCAGCAACAAAACAACCGGCCATGAACACATTGGAACATTTGTTGGTTGGCTTCCGACACAAATGAACACATCGGATTGCTCAGAACAAACACTGACTTCAGCAGACACAATAATTAATGAACACATTAGCAAATTCCCATTTAACATTTTGGTTTTGAAAACAATATCAAAATTGATATTGACAAAAAAAATCAAAACGGATGACAGTAATTTCAAGTTTTACATGTCAGAGATATTAAGTTCCCACTGACAGTTTAACAAGTTGCAAATCTGAAACAGCCTGACACAAGTCAGACCAACAGTGACACAGGTTTGACATTCTGTGACACAAGTCAGACCAACAGTGACACTGGTTTGACACATCGAGACACAGACTGACACACTGTGACACAGGACTGACACACTGAGACACAGGACTGACACACTGAGACACAGGACTGACACACTGTGACACAGGACTGACACACTGAGACACAACAGGACTGACATTCTGTGACACAGCAGAAGACCAACATACTGTGGCACCAACTGACATACTGTGACTCTGCTGGTTTCAAGATTCTAAGACTAAGAGTATCATTATTAAAACAAAAAGTTCAACATCAATTAAAAATAGAAAGCAAGTTCCACAGTACCAGCATATCCTTTGCAGCTGACAGGCAAACAAAGGAGACAACGTGGACTGGTTTCACAATTTCGACCTCTCCATGTAAATGTACCACCATATGATGAACTGGTTCACCATTCTGACTTTTCTTCCCATCAGGTAAATGTAATATTATACTGGTTCGCCATTTTCACCTTTCCATACCGTACATGTACAACAGAGGTGTTTCCCCATACTGTTCTTTCCACTTACTATGTGAACTGGTCCAACACAGAGCTGAAACAAGATTCCATAGACAAAAAAACCCCAGTTTCACACAGGCATATTTATGGGATAGGTCTGAGTCTGAGGAGAGTAGCCAGACTTTTACAAATAAGACAAAGTGGAAACGTTCACATTTGCTGCGTAGATGAAGCCAGGTGGCTGCGGTGATGAATCAGTCACAGTGTCAAGAAAGATACAGGAAAGATTGCATGGAAAAAAGGGGGTTTGATGGACGGATGAATGGTCAAAAGAGGAAAACATAGCGGAAAGGTACAAAAAATGTTAATTTTCAAGCGCTGTCCCATACCCCTCCCCCCCCCCCAACTAGGTTGTAACAAGGGTGGATACAAATAGCACATTCATAACAAAACTGTGAATCTAGAGAGGATTTGTACGCAGGGAGAACATTAGAACTTCTCTCTGTTAATACAAAATGCGGCATTGAAGAACATATTTTTTCCTGGTAGACAGCATGATGAACAGGGGAATAAAATGTGGAGCACAGAAATATATGAGAAATAACAGACTACAACCATTTTCTAATTCTGTCCTTCTCTGTGGTAACAACATTGGAGACCAAAGACTGTGGGAGATTCTAGCTTATGAAAAACATTCAATTCATAAACACACACACAACCCCCCCCCCCCCCCCCCCCAAACAAACAAACCCAGAACAAAATTGTTCCAAGCAATAAGTCAGGCAGTGAAGTCATTGTGACAGTACCTAGGACGTGACACTGTGCAAAAAGCAGGCAGTGCAGGCAACTGTACACATTCTGCGACCTTGGTTTTGTGCGAAAAATGGACGAAAAATTCTCCAAGGACACTGAAAGGGCTTGGCTAACAAGGATAACCAAAATTCACTTCGGATCTTGAGATGGAATATTTCAGATCTTCATTGAGACACATCCAAAGAAAACAACGAAACAAAGCCATTACAACATTGAACAAAAGGCCCGCCATAAGGGGATCAACAGTTGAGGGTGTACGTGATAAAAATCTAATCATTTCAGTTCATTTCACGACAAATTTTGCATCGTAATTCATTGATCTTTCTCATACAAGCCATTCATAGCATAAAATGACCTTACGAGACTGTAAACTCTATTAGTATTAGGCTGATCTGAACAAGTTTTGTGGTGTTAACATCACATTTGACAATTTGTCATTTACAAACTTCAATCACACCTTCAGCTCCCTTAGTTGTGAAGCTACAAAATTCATCTTTCCAAATAATCACAGTTTCAACTGCTTTTACAATAATAGAAACCCTTACAAATAACATTTCTTTTTGCTAAAAAAGGTACAATTTTGAGCTGTGCTGAAGCAGTAAAGTTTCTTTCCAAGCTAATAAAATTTTTACTGAAATATTTTTTTTCAAATAAAGGCCCGCCTCATTTTGTACTTACACAGTTCAAGACTTAAGTGGACTCTTTTCAATGAGGACTAACTCTGCCTTAGGCAGTCCCTGGTTACCACAGCAGCCAAAAATAGAATATTTTGATGGAGTTTTTTTCTAATCTGGCGGCCCCCTACAGAATAAATACTGTACAGTTGTTTTTCAAAATAAAACACCGGTAACAAAGAAGATATAATAAATTTCAACAGCAGATCCCCTTACAGTGGAATCTCGGTGACAATATTCATCATTGCACGTTGTGACAATTCTCATCAACGTTCATTGTGACAGCAATCATCAAGATTCCTGGTGATAACTATCATTAACGTTCTTTGCAACAGCAATCATCAAGATTCCTGGAGATAACTATCATTAACGTTCTTTGCGACAGCAATCATCGAGATTCCTGGTGATAACTATCATTAACGTTCTTAGTGACAGCAATCATCAAGATTCCTGGAGATAACTATCATTAATGTCCATTGTGACAGCAATCATCAAGATTCCTGGAGATAACTATCATTAACGTTCTTTGTGACAGCAATCATCAAGATTCCTGGAGATAACTATCATTAACGTTCTTTGTGACAGCAATCATCAAGATTCCTGGTGATAACTATCATTAACGTTCTTAGTGACAGCAATCATCAAGATTCCTGGAGATAACTACCATTAACGTTCTTAGTGACAGCAATCATCAAGATTCCTGGTGATAACTATCATTAATGTCCTTTGTGACAATGTTCATTTATGTTCTTTGTAACATTGCTCAGCATAATTTTTTACAACCATGCTCAGCAATGTTCTTTGCGCAACACTCATAAATGTTCTTTGTAACAATAATGCCCATCACTGTTCTTTACATTAAAACCAAGGAAAAGAACACAATGGCACATCTTAAAAATTACAACAAAAAAGCTTGTGGGAACGGAATCAAAGCTTTCTGTTTTAATCTGTGGAGTGTTTGGTGCTTTTGAAGTGTCAAATTGGCAAACAAAAAATCTCCGCAAGTGAACAAATGGTGAAAACTCAACACCCCAAGTGTACAATTACTATCATACTCCAGTCCGATCTGTCAAACTATGCTCCAAACCAAAGCAAACGGAGAGGCAAAAAAATGTGGACATAAAAAAATAGACAACACTTTCTATGCCACGATGTAAAAACAGAACATTGAAATAAATAAACTTGAATATCAGGAGCAGGACAATTTCAATGTCTGAACACATTTAGCACCTCAAAATCAACAGTATCCCACTGATACTAGCATCACGAGTGCTTCCCCTAAAAATAAAGAGTTACGTGTACAACAGTGTTCAGAAGTTTTCTTTTTGTCGATGTCAAAATTACGGATAAAACTGAAGAACAGAAAAAAAGAAAAAAAAAAAAAGAAAAAAAAGCGATTTTAGAACGTGTTTCATGCAGAGGCTAAAACTGTGAGAGGGAAACAATTTCAAACAAGAAACCGTAAAAACATTAAAAAATGAATCTAATTTTCACAATACCAAAGACAGTACATAACAAGATGGTCCACTCAGCCAAAAAAGTGTCCCCCCGAAGTCCGCTCTTTGCTTCAGATGGCGCTGCAGTCTGTTTTGAAGCTCTCTTTCATTTCTCCAGAAGAAAAATAGGAATAGCACCTTCTTGCGTGCGTAGATCGACTGCTGTTCATCAGCTGTTCCAGTTCGTTCAGGGCGGAGTTTTAGTTTTTAAAAATGTTAATGACCTCTCGCCTCTCATTTTAAAGTCAAATTAAACGAAGAAAACAGTCGCCCCTTCTTCCGGAAGAGGTTTTTTGTCAGCGTAACCATTTCAAAAAAGTGTTCTTCCGAAACTTGAATTCTTATTTATTCAAAAACTTGTTAGTTTCACTTTGATTTTCTTAACACAAGTAGGGCAACTCTGTTCGCAAACGGTGCGCTTTTGCGTAGAGGGCGCCACCGAACTTTGAGGACACTTTTTTAATTGGCTCAAAGAGAGGAGTGGACCCTCTTGTTATGTAGACTCTTTGACAATACTAAAGCGATGTGGTATTGACGTTGTTCAACACATATATATATAGCAAAGCAAGCTGAATGACCCTTCCACATGTCCGCAATGTTCTCAAGCGATTAAAAACAACAGAAGGAAAAAACGTTCAGCCAGCTCTCTGTCTGAACACATCGGTGACTCTGTCTGGCTAACTGCATAGGAAACTTGAAGGTCTCTCTTTCATTTGTTTAAAAAAAAAAAAAAAATCACAAAAAGAAAAAAGAAGGACCCTGAGAACAAGAGATTGTTCATGTAGAAAAAGTGACTGTTGACGTGACCACAGACATTGGAAAACCCTCACCAAGGTTGG